CTTGGTATGGTATTACTGAAGTACTTCGGAAAGGAAATGAAGGAAGACTGGACTCGAGAGATCGATATAGTTGAAGGTCTTTCTAGTAGTGAAGACCCGCAAGACAATCTTCTTCATTATCGCTGGCACTCTAAAGGTAAGTGACCATCTTTACTAAAAATACATCTGAAATTTCTGCTCATGTGTAAGAAAATACACTCATTTTAGAGACTCAGCAAAAAACGCGAAAAACCAAAATCCACAGAAAAACAGGAGCAGCTCTGATTAACAAATAGATTCCAAGTTGCCGTGCGTCTGTTCAGTAATAGATCACAGATGACGTCAAAATGTGGCCAGTTCCTTTCATGAATGGAGTAAGCTTAGTTGACGAGGTTTTGAATTGAAATAATCGAAATGGATCCAATCATTTTCAATACAGTGGCTAAATCACGTGTCTTGATAGGTAGATACACTCGAAACACGTGCTGATATATTCTAAGTAGGGGGTAGTCAGGTGCCAATAATGGTTTTTTTTAGTGTTCAATCTTCCTGCGCTCTACAGGCTTCTCCTGGAAAAAGTTGATCGCACGTGGTTAATTTTAGGGCTGATTTTGAAGTTGGAACTAGCAGGTTGACATATTTAAGGCTTATGGTGCTTTTTCATTTACTCCAAAATGTGGAGAAACTATATCGTAAGAGAGGCAGGGGGTTATTATAATAGAAGTAAGTACCTAGTTTTGTTTCGGGTAACAGTGGGCTGCTAAATGTCTAGGTCGTTTAGTTATTATACTGCTGCGGTTGTTGATTTTTAGCGTCTGAACAGAGTATTGAACATGGCAAGAAGAAGATTCATGGCATACAAGGAAGTAGTTGGTAAGTTATCATTGGCCTAACTCTGTCACAGTCATTTAAACTGTTGTTGTCTCGATAAACTGAACTAAGAACATGGACATGGCCGACGGAAACTTTAAATTATTTTAATTAAGTTAAATTTTCATTTTTTAAATTTAAAGTGCACTGTTTTAAGTATGACATTTCCTTACTGTACGTAAGGAACCTTATTGACATTGTAAGTGCTGATTTATCACATAATTTTTACTGTACGTTCTCCTCTTAATTAGCTCTTCATTTCTTCTGAATTTTGTTAAGGCTCATTTGTTACGATTTTGAGTCGAGCTCCACTTTGGAAGATTTTCTTTCGGAGAAAGGAATTTTTATCAACTTCGACGCGGTATGCGCTGTAGTTTGTGACGTCATCACCGCTATAGAACATCTTTTGAATCATGGAATATCTCATAACAACATCACAACTGGCAACATTTTGATCAGGCATTGTCCAAGAGTAAGTTGATAACTGATGTTTTAGAGCCTGAAAACTTTCGCAGTCCATTGATAGCCGTCAAATTATACTTAGTCTCGCCTGAATTCTCTTACGATAGATTTGTTGTGGTGCCAATCTAGTCTAATGAGCAATAACATAAGAAATGTAGAAAAAGTAAAAATCGTGTCTCTTAATGCACGAGACCATTTGCAATGGGTTTCACTTGAGAAAGTTTTAAAATCCTTTTCTGTACACCTCATCCACGCATGTCGGGCCTCATTTGATATTTATCTAAAATTAGTGTTCTTGTAGTAAGTGTAATTAGTGTAGTTAGCTAGTGTAACGAAATAACAATTTCACCCAAGAGCGTGACCAAGTTGGCTTTCTAGCGGGCAAATAAAAGATTGACGATAATCCCGCCATCATGAACGAGGTCTACGAAGCGAATTTGACAAGATCGACACGTTTACAGGTACCTCCGATCAAAGCCGTTCTGGGTGGATTTTCTCAAGCGTCTAAAGCAGATGACGCAGGTGCGTTCACAAACTCGGCAGCCGACGAACAGAGTTGCTATAGCCACGACATAAAGCAGTTCGGACATTTACTAGCAACCTTACTAGGACACTGCCATGGCTCCAGTGAATACGTTAAGGTAATTACTATGAAGTCAGTGTCAGTTGGTACTTATGACGACCTAGAAACAGCTTGGTTGATTTGCAACTACTGATCCCCGGTTAAAGAAAAACCGTCAAGATTAAGAACCACATGTAGATTGTTTACCATCTTTTAATTGGTTGCCTTAGCTTTAGTGGACACAAAAGAAAGCTGACATCTATTTTTCATATATTCAGTAATAGTTAATTAACTACGGTGCAGCAAGATTACGAAACAAAATGACCCTTACAAGTGTTCCAGACCACACCGGTGTATTTCGTCGAATTATCTTGCCAGGGCGTTGTTATCGTAAGTTTCGCCATCAGTCTCATGGTAAAATTGTAACTCTTCTCTTGACCTCTAAAAAATTGTCACTGCTTTATATAAAGCTGTAAGTAAGGATACAGTTATCTTATGCAATGCACAAAAAGCTGCCTGATTAAAAACATAACTTCCTTTCTTTTGTTTTGTTCATGTTCTGTAGTTGCATGAGATTATGAACCTGTGTTTCGAGGATACAGAGGAGAAGAGGCCTACAGCACGTTACATCCGCGAAGTATTGGAAGAAACCTGGTGCACTGAGGGGGTTTGGGATACATACCTATGAGGAAACTAAAGAAAAAAATCGAAATTAGCTTTCCAATCGCATTTGGTACCGAGTTTGAAATGGTTGTATTAGTGACACCATCGATTTCTCTGAGTATTCGGGTCAGTTTTTTTTCTCATTTTTAACTTGCGTTTACTGAAACAAGAAACGCTTTTCGGCGATTTGCCTAACATCGAAAAAATTTATTGCTTTGCTGCTTTCTATTATGTGCAGGGTGCTGCGTGGGTTATTATGATGGGAAACTGATAGAAAGTCAGCAGTTCATTTCAAAATAATTTATACAATAGCTGCTCAGTGTATTAATTTAGGGGCGAAACACCCGAGGCTTCCGAGGAGGATTGTCGGTTCCCGTTCTGTTTCGGCTTCATTAGTTTCGATTAATTAATTAGTTGACGAAAATAGACTATGATGAATTTAGGTCATTATAATGTACATGAAAAAATACTCAGTTCTAATTGGTTCAGATAAATGCAGTTTCAGGTAATTCAATGTAGAAGGTTAATTCAGTGCAAATAAGTAACGAAGCAGACATTCTGATTGTCAATAAAGTCAATGAAACTCACAGATAGCTCATCACCGGCGTTTTAAGTAGGTTTCTTTCGCCACTGCAACAACAATACAGCAGCTGAAAAACAGCTATAACAACGAAAACACATTGGTTTTCAGTTTGGAAAAAGTGGTGTTTAGAGAAGGGAATTACTAAGGAAATCGTAAATTGCGAGCCGACCCAGCTTAACACTTTACTCCAGCGATTCTACGCCGAAATTAATAACAAACATAGTTAAATCTCGCAAACGACGATTGCATTTCATCGAAAGTGATTCGGACACAGACTGAACAATTCCTTGAACTGTTTAGCCGGACTTTGAACCTTTTTTGCGCCTTAAAGATATGAAATATCATTGTAATTTATTGTTTTGATCGTACGCGGTTGTTTTGACCGAATGCACAATGTCACTAGCGGGTTATAATAAATCATGTTTGCACTTGATGCGCGCGCTTTGCTTCTGCATAACTATAATAAGCTATCTGGAATTTTTGATGTACATTTTTTATACGTAATCTCATGATTTTTCTTGTGCAATTTGGAATAAATAAGCACTTGTTAAGTTAATTTTTTCAAAGACCACAAATTGCACTTGCCCTACCGCCTCCTGCAATTTTGTTTGTCTTTGAAAAAATTTAATCGTGCCTATTTATTGCAAATTGCACTCGAAATCATGTAATTAACTATCCTAATGAAAATGAAAGTAGTAAACTAATGACGATAATGATAACGGTAGAGATAATAATATTAAAAATGAGAGTATTAACAATAGTATATGACGGAGCTTGAGACGAAATAATTTAAAATGGTGGTCACTCGGACAAATCCAAGATGGTGCCAAAACTGGTTTTGGTAACAGGTAAATATGCGGGGGATTTGATGAGATGCAAACCGCATAGGTATGTTGAAGACCTAAATATAAAAACTGTCTTAGTTGTAATAAAGTCCTAAATGTGATAAGATTTGGTCCTAAATGTAATAAAGTCCTAAATGTAATAAGATTTGGTCCTAAATGTAATAAAATCCTAAATGTAATAACATTTGGTCCGAAATGTAATAAGCCTCCGATACAATCATTTAATTCCGCTAGTGCATTGTTGTTATAGCAAGTAAAAAGACGCTGATTAATATCAGCGAGCCCACAATATGCCAAGAATATTGGTCGGAGAATTTTTTGGTGCATCAGCTGTCACTTTAACATCTAAAGGAGGATGTCCACTATTACAACATTACACTGGCGGAGTTAAACAATTACATGGGAGGCTTATTACATTTAGGACCAAATATTATTACATTTAGGACTTTATTACATTTAGGACAGTTATTACATTTAGGCCTTCAACATAGGTATTTGTGGGAATTTTTAGGTAATTCACGAAACAAAAGGGGATTTGAGAACATGTCCAGGCAAATCCGCAAAAGACACATCAATCGCTCCAAAAAGTTTTTTGAAAAAAAGTAAATTTTTGACACAAATCTGTGCACCCAAACTAATATGATCTCAAGGTGTTATAACCATCAATCTTGTGCCACCTGTCAGGTCTAAAGCCGAATAGGGCATTTCTTCTCCTTTCACACCTAGACGAACCGCCTTGCAAGTCAAACAGTTGAAAATTGATAGGGTTATGTGCCAGGTGTCCGTTGTATGCATCATTGCGCACCATTCCGAAGATCAGACTTTGAGGAATAAGAACGTTAAAAATGTCTGTCCCTGTATGATTTAATATCCCTTGGGAATAGTTTTGCATGGGTTGGAGATCTGGTCAATGTGTAAACTGCCCGGAGGGCAGGCGAAGACTTGCCCGAGTACTTTGACTCGTCATTTCCTTCCTTTTAACAATAAGTGTGTGCCTAGTTCTAGCCCCAGGCCCCCGACTGTGAAGACTAAAAGCGGCCATGAGTACCTCGTCCTCATTCATGACCCGTCCTCGTCGATTTTGTCAGTACGATTGCCGCGCACTGATGAAACAAGTCTGTCTATATCTGGAAAGATAGCTATCAAGAGCCTTTGCGAGGAACAATGTTTTTCACAAGAAAAAAGCTTACAATGATGAAATCTCTGCGTTTCAACACTCAGTACAGGCACCGTCTTCGGGTTAACCTCAATTATCAATTATCCAATTAAATACAGCAGTGACCAGTTATTTTGAACCCTAGACATGGTCAAAATTCCCCTCATTTTAAACTAGAGACTCAAGTACTTAAATATTTCTCATTGTATCGCCATAGATCTACTCTAAATTTCAAACCCCAGTCGTCTGATGTCTGATTGAATCCGTTATATGAAACCAGTTTTGCTTCAATTTCGGAGACATTTTTGTCAATAACAACCGTGATGTTTCTATTCCACACGAAAGAAGAGGGAACAAGGTATCGGTATTAACAGGTTTCTTCAACCTTATACGCTGTCTGTGTTATGTCAGATATATTTTTAAGGCCTCGTCAAATGTGCACAGCTTAATTTTCCCCCTGAGAGGCAGACAAGTCTACGTTTTCTATAACTAAATGCAAGGATATAGTGATGCCTTAAAGACTAAAGATACCCAGATGTCTGCAAACGATAGTTTTTTGCTCTTAAATGCTCAAAACATATTTTTGATTTGAGGCAATAGTTAATTTTTTGCCAATTTTTTCACAAATGTGTGAACTTAAAGAACTGTACGTGATTGTGTCGTCTGTAATGAATAGAGAGGATAGCAAATGATATAATGCCATGGGCATATCTTCGTGTAATAAATAAGGAGAAAAGAATTCCATATGCACACATTACAAGTGATTTGTATTTCATCAGGTGTCTGACTGTAGCGGATAGTAGTTAACTTTTCTGAAAAATATATACACAATCCAAGGTAAGGGTAAAAAGGGTAATGATTTTCGTCGGGTTGTGGTGACTGTAAAGTCACAAAATTAAGCAAAAAGGCAATTATATTCAAAAGCACTACGTACGCGTGTACATCCATGACATTTGGCTTCACAGAATGTTCTTGGCTCGTTTTTAGCAAAAACAAACCAACACAAGCACCTGTTTTGCACAGTCTCTCGCAAATCCAAGCAGTTAATGATAAAAATTCGATAGATTTTTCCATTTTAGGGGCTTAAATGCATCGTTAACCCTAAAAGTTATGAAGAATAAGGTAAGTAAAGGGGAGGAAGTGGCGTCACCAAACAGGAAGTTGCCATAAAGAGGAAGTTACTATAAAGCGGAAGTAACGAATAGATTGGTAGCTTTCGTCCAAATATAATTTTTAAAATGGGGGGCTTTCATTTTTGAGTGAAGCGTGGCTATGCTTTCAAACAAAATTCCCAATACGCGTAATCATGTTTACAGTTTTTTCATACCGCACTGACCCTTTACCTCGATAGCTTACGGATGGAATTTATCGAACATGCTAAAAGATATTATAAATAATTATAATAACTATAACAGATGTTCCTCAAAAGGTTTTTCAAAATCTATTTACAAATGTATGAATATATAAAATAATAATAATAATAATAATAATAATAATAATAATGATAAAATATAGTCAGTATTCACAACTAAACAAGCTCTGAAAGTTCATGCTAATATACCGTGTGGAGGTACTTCCTTATGGCCATCTTAAAAAATTTGAAGGAGGTATGATTCTTAACGTCACTATCCAAACTGTTCCATAAGCTAATTGCTCTATAGGTTAAAGAGCGTTGGCCTGTGGCAGTTTTACAAATCGATCGGTATCTGAAGCGAGTCCCCTTTGCGCGTGTAACGAGCATGCATGCTAAAGCGCTTAATGAACTTATCGCTCAGGTATCGTGGAGCGAGGTCACTGAGACATTTGTATGTTATTACCGCGTCCTTATATAGTAGTAATTGCTTCACGGGTAGCCAGTTCAACTGGCGAAGCAAAGGAGTTACGTGGTCGAATTTATTAGAGTTCGTAACTCTCTTGCTGGCGAAGTTTTGGATTGACTGGAGCTCACTGATGTTCCCAGCTGATATATTCGACCACAAGGTGGAACAATATAATATTTTACTAAAAACTAATAATGCTATTGGTAATTTTAAAATTTCTTTGTTAAAGCTCTTCTTAAAACGATTTATCTGATATAGTTTAGAAAGGGAGGACGGGACTACATGTGTGATGTGGTGAACGTAAGTTCGATATAATGTTCGGATAATGTTTACCAACTGACCTGTACTCGTTGCTTGTTTTTCCTTGTTTCCAGACAGCAAACTCTCAATCAATAAAAACAAGTCCAATATAAGCTTTAACTTTACCGAGTCATCACGATTTGTCTTCAATCAACGATTGCAGATATTCTCAAGCCTAAAGTCAGGTAATTTTTTTGTGTCGTTTAAGGTTTTCTAATCTTACCCTCTTGAGATATTGGGTAAAATAAGAATTTCACCTTATGCTCCGGTGAATGACGCTTTCGTGATGTTCTAATCACGTGCGGTATAAGGCGAGGTTGCATAGAGGTTTTTAATAAGTGTATCTTGTAGGTAATTCAAGTAGTGAGACTAACGGATCTTACTGAAGGCAGGTGGTCCCGCGTGTAGCAATCCTAGTGCTTAACTTCTGGCACTTAACTTTTGGGCATAAACTAAGCTCGTTTCAGTTAAATTACACGTTCTTCAGCAGACTACGACGCAAACTAAACAAGATAGCTTTTCTTAGGTAAGGAATGTCTTTGCCTTTTATATAGAATTACTCTTTGCAAAATTAATAGCTCGGTGGCCGCAGTTACCCGTTTTCACTCTAAATTT